TTTTCAGTAAAAAACAAACAGTATTATCCCCGCAAACAGCACCGCGGTTGCCTTAAATCAAAATAGAAGTCACTATTTTACATCAATTTGGACGGACACTCTGCAACTTGAAATCGAATCGAATTGAATTATATGACATATCTTATGGGAACTTAAGAACTACACCCTTCAATGTCTTCCATATGTTCTTGACATTCAGGACCACCCTGTATAATATGTCGGTTATAAAATGTGACATATAAATATTCAGGTTCTTTAATTCATTCTTATATCTATTTTTTTGCCATCAAGTTTAGTCACGATCTTGACAACACCGCAGCGTCTTTACCATTTCAGCAAAAATAATATGGGCCAAGGAATCTTTTGTATGATAAGATAATTTTTATCTGATTAATAGTTATCGTGATTCATGATATCATCTATCCTTGCATGAAAATTAAAAAATATGTAAATATGCAATAATGACTTGAAATATTACCATGAAATAATCAATTCAGTGAAAATAAAAACAGTGGGAGTAAATACAATGTTGATATAATATAGAAGAATCAGAAAAATGATGTATGAAGCTGAAATATCAAAACTTCATGAATTCTCCAGAATTAGAATAATAATCTTTCAAAAAGCAGATTTATCCATCTAGATAATTTATTTGTAAAATACACACTTATAATGAGATCGTAATCGTCAGACATGAGAGCACTAATCAAGTTCAAAATCAAATATTTTACGGTTCCTATCATTTAATACCTACTTACATTAGGAACATCAATAGATATGCCATCAAAAAAACATTACACATAATCCTTATCAGGTAAACCTATACGACTCAAATATTGTTTCATTATAGGATTAACTTTTTCAATCCTGGCCTGAATGATAATCAACCATGCTTGCTATGCGTTCTTCTTATTCAATTTTAATACTTGTACTCTACATCTCAATACATGATTTCTAATATTTTTTCTTGACAAGAAACAGGTTTGAAGTACTCTGTGGTATTCAGTACGAGAGTTTCACGAAAGTTAATATTTTTCCATGAAGGCTGACAGACCATCTCACGACTATTGATTCAAAATATCTAAATAGTACATCAGTAAAAAAAAATTATATATCAATTATTTAATGTTCATACTTTCATCTGATAGTATTCCTTTTCAATACTTTCACCCAATCAAGGGGTTCAAACCTGAACGATGGAAACTTCTTATTTTTATAGACCTGCACTCGCAGACTCGCGATTTAGATTTTCTCAATTCAGAATTTCTTTCCACGTCCTGTATGATGAATATCAATTAGTTATACATACAAAAATTAATATATCAATATTCATTCAACTGATGGCCTTTCTGAAACTTGATTAAAAGGCTACATTCCTAAAATACCAAAGGTGGTGGTAGGTGGACTACTTTTATTTACATAAGAGAAGCTCCAGATGATACTTTTCTGCTACTTAAAGTTCTTCTGGTAATGGGTGTACTTGGAGGCTAAAGACGTGATGTATTGGTCAAGATAACAATTGATGACATTGAAGACAGAGGAGCTGTTTTACTGATCAAGGTACCAGAAACTGAGACCTCAAAAAGTTTCGCCATTGTTGAAGAGAGCAGAATAGGAGCCTTGAACTTAGTTAAAAAGTACATTGCTGTACACAGTCATGCAACTGGGAAAGGGCAACAAAGTCACACTTATGTGGGTTCCAGGGCATGAAGGAATCAAAGGAAATGAGGCAGCTGATCGCCTTGCAAAAAAAGGTGCAGCACCTGCACTTTTTGGTCCTGAGCCTTCTTGTGGGATAAGCAAATGTCATCTAAAGGGAGAACTCGGAAAATGGGAAGAAATTGAAAAGTCCTCCTACTGGAGAGCAACTCCAGGTCAACGACAAGCGAAGAGGTTCATCAACCATTCGCAGAACCGAGCCAAAGAGCTACTCAGCCTCAGCAAACCAGAGCTAAAGCTTATCACAGGCTTTCTCACAGGACACGGCCCTCTGAGGTACCACTTCAAAAAGATGGGTCTGGCGGAGACTGACACTTGCCGCTTTTGTAACAATGCAACCGAAACCGCGGAACACATACTTTGCTCATGTGAAGTATAAGTCCGCCAAAGGCTGAACCACCTAGGACAGGTCTATCTCACCTCTGCTGAAGTGGAAAAGTCAACCGTCAGGAAAATCGTAGGCTTCATCACAAGCCTAGGGTTAGAGGACCAAAACTAGATAGGGGTAATCACAATAGATCTTCTAGGTCGCAGTGATCGAGAGGTCTCTCAGCCTATACGACCCATCTACAATCTACAATCTACATTGCTGTACAACCAAAACGATGTAAACAACATTGTTTTTTTTTCAACCTACAGGAGTAATAAATGCATTGATTAACCAGTAGGTAAAAATACTATAGGAAGTGTTTCTTCTATCATAGCGAAATACCTTAATTTGGAAAACCCGAAAGTTTACACCAGACATTGTCTACGCCGAGCGTCGTCTACGCTTCTTGTTCAAGGTGGTGCTTTCTCTGAAACCGAGCTATATTGAAGGAAGTATCTCCTTGAAGAACAAGAGTGCTACAATGATAGCCCATTCCGTTTCCGAAAAAGAAAAACGCTCCGAACGAAACCGAATACACATTGAGAAGTTCATCATAGGTCAACTCACAGAACTTCAAACTTGGTACTAATTTTTCAGGAACATTTGAAAATTGTAATTTCTATTCGAGAGAAAATAATTAGTCCCTTTTCATGTGCAGTGGTAAATGAAACTTTTCTGAGTAATTAATTCATTGAATTACAGAAAACAAACCAATTAGCTGGCGTTATGATTCATAATGCCCTTCCATAACGCCCTAGGGCGTTATTGGTCTGTTAATAGCAACCGTTGCCAAGGTATTATAAAGCAGTAATGGACAACTGAAAAATAATAGTTATTTATACACCAAGGTAATGAAGGCTTCAGCCGAGGGGTATAAGGTCCTGTGGTAATAGTATTCTTTACTACCAAGGTGTATATTAAGTTTTTATCACCACTAGCAATACATTTCAATCATTTTAGTTTTGTTAAACTGGAATATGAACCTATTGTCACTATGAAAGCATTTCTTTTCAATTTTGTTCAGAGAACATCGTGAGAACCAAGAGGAATAAGGTAGGAATTGGTGTTCTTCTTGAATTCCTGGAGGTTATATGCCTCGGGGAACACCTCTCTTGGCAATGTGCTCCAGAGCCTCGCTGTTTGTTGGATGAACTAGTCTTTGGAAAGAGATGTTCTGCAGGTCTCCAAAGTGACCACGAAGGGGTGCGAAGCCTCAACTCGACGGGTTAATCTCGCGGGGATACTGCCAAGGGAGGAACAATTGTTTATGTTTCAGAAGATCATCGTCCATGAAAATATCTATGAAATGGAGCCAGATCGCCACTTTTCTACAGTGTTCCAGAATAGTGAGTGAGTTTGTGAGCGAGGCATCACCCACCAGACGAATTGCCCTTGTTGGGACAGAATCCAACAGTTTCAGGGTATGTTTGGGTCCTGCACTCCAAATATGGGAACAGCATTCCAGGACAGGTCGAATCTGTGCCTCATAGATCATAAATAAGCAGATGACTGGAAGTGGAATAGCTCCTGGCCCGAAACAGAAAACCAAGTTTTTGGGATGCACTTTTAGCAATTGATCTCACGTGATTTTCCGAAAAAAGGTTATTGCTGATAGTAATACCAAGCAGCGAAATGGATGTTTTCAAAGGTATGGTCACTCCTGAGAAGCTCACGTTGGGCACAGTAAGATCGGTTTTTCTAGAGAAAAGGCGTGCTTGTGTTTTGTTTGCATTGAAATCTACCAAGTCATTAGATCCCCATTCGAGAATTGATGCCAAGTCCATATTTATGTTGTCAACATTTCTTCCTCGTTCGTTTCTAATTGGTCTAGCTGGTATTGGGGCCCTGGAAGAGAAGGCGGTATGGAGGGTACTATCATCCGCCAGGCTGTGTACTGGACATTAAGTTGCTTCCAACAAATCGTTGGTATGGAGTAGAAATAGTGTTGGTGCTAGAATTGAAGCTTGCGGAACATCAGCATTTATGATAAGAGAGTCAGATGAAACTCTGTCGACAACTACATGAAGATACCTGTTTGAGAGAAAACTAGCTAGCAGAGAACATAGCTGGGGAGGCAAGCCATAAGATGGAAGCTTGGCGAGGAGTCCGTGGTGCCAGACTCGATCGAATGCCTTGGAAGATATCAAGTGCCACGGCTGAGGTTTTACCATATTTTTCAATAGAAAGCTGCCATATATGTAAGACGTAAGCGAGCGGGTCAGTTGATCTCTTATGACGGAAGCCATATTACCTATCGTTGATAACACCTGAAAGTTCCAGGTATTTCATGAGCTCGATGTTGATAGCTTTTGCCATAAATAATAGATAGCAGTGCGATCGATCTGCAGTTGCTGGGTAGGGTCTTTTAGCCTTTTTTTGTACTCTTGCAATTTTCCAGTTGGACGGGAATATCCCCGATTTGTAAGAGTAGTTGAACAACTTGCAGAGAACATGTGTAGCTTGGGAGTACGTTTCTTGAGGACAATCGGTGGGATTCCATCGGAGCCACAAGCTTTGCACCTACTAGATTCGAGTACCAATTATCTCGCATGTCAGTGAATTCGGGTTAATTATAACAGAGGTTGCTATATATTTATTGACTAGTGGTTAATAAAACGACGAAAACTACCTTGGTAGGAAAAGCACACTTTACGCCTCGAAAAGGAGTAAATAATGGTAGGTTTCATAGCTAGTGGTGGAAATAATCATATAAGTTTATTTCCAAAAATGGTTTGCTATATTCATATAGTGATACTCACTAAGGTACGAAGAATGAATCAGGTGTTGGTTTGGTAATATACAAATGTTTCAATTGCGAAAGTTTTATTAGAAAATAATCAAACAACTCATGGATTTAAATAGCGTTCCATCTTCAAGATGGTATGACCTCCCATAAGTTTTGCAAAGTGTACCCCTCCTTGACTTGTTCCACAGCTAAACCCAATTCGGGACTGAAAACGGGTGGCCTGTCCCTACTGTGTCCTTCATCAGCCAAATACGCCACGATAGTATTGCCGATCTCTCCTTTGGGCTCCTCCAAAGCTTCGTAGTCTTCCACCAGGTTATTGTTGTGTTCTGTGTACTCCTTTCCAGAAGAGTACTTGTATTCTACTCCAAATACGGGCTTGGCAGAATAAACCGTATGGAGAGAGGTGAGCTCTTTGTAAAGGTTACGCAGGGTTTCTTCTGGATCCACCTTGAATCCTAGGACGAACGCTCCACTCGCTTCTGAGCTCGTTATCACTAGAGCTGTGCCAAATTTCGAGTCTCTGATCGATATCTGGAAAAATATCGAATAATCCATACTAATATTATAAAGAGGAGAGATTTGATTCTTTGCTCGTTCGTTCGTACAGGGTGATTCACCTTATATGTCCCCCCCTCTAGCTCAGTTATTTTTGAACCGATTTCAAAATTTGAAATATCATCTCAAATGATTTTCGATAAAGTTTTTTTCTGTCACATCAGAAGATACAGGGTGCTCGGAACAAACGATCTACAGGGTACTATTTGATTTTTTTAAATGGAACACCCTATGTTTTATTGTATTTTTAGATTCTCCATAAAGAGCTGATTTGATCGATGTATCACACTCGGGGTCAAGCCGGAATGATTACAGAGATATAGGGTGTTCAAAATTGAGATTTTTCAACTTCAGGATTTTTTTGTGACGAAACTATTCATTATCGGTCGAAACGGCTTCCATGTCCGTGCCACAACTTTTGATTTACTATCTACTGACATTTAATAATTGGAACAGATACAGGGTGATCAGAATTCTGAATCTTGAACCACCCTGTAAATGTTCCAATTAAATGTCACTAGATAGTAAATCAAAAGTTGAGATAGGGACATGGAAACCGTTTTGACCAATGATGACTAGTTTCGACAGAAAAAAATCCTAAAGTTTGAAAAATCTCGATTCTGAACACCCTATTTCTCTGTAAACATTCCCGCTAGACCCCAAGTGTGATGTATCGATGAAATCAGCTCTTCAGGAAGAATCTAAAAATACAAAGAAATACAGGGTGTTCCATTTGAAAAAATCAAGTAGTACTCTGTAGATCGTTAGTTCCGAGCACCCTGTGCAACGGAAAAAAAATTCTGAAAAATCATCCCAGATTATTTTTTAATCGGTTCCAAAATGAGTGGGTTAGAGGGGGGGACATTTATGGTGAATCACCCTGTACGTTCGAATATGGCTACGAATTTCAAATTTTTAAATTGGTTTTAGCGCGTATGTGATTGGTTGTGATTGACATTCGAATATTTGAGTTTTTAGTTGTACAATTCTTTGGTGTTTGTGTTTTCGTTTATTTTTCATGGACTGTACTTTTTCAACCAACAAAATGCAGTATTTGCGGAGTTAAGAAAAGACAGGAATCCTCTTTTCATTATTAATTTTGAATTTTCGAAATCTTGGGCTTGCAAATAAGTAGGTAGATCTGAAACTGAAAATCATAGAACTGAAGTTAGGATTTAGGAGAAAGCTTCCGATAATTTTATCTTATCTGATGCATAGGTAGTACGGTACTACTAAAGGCTATTTTACTTATTAATGAAAAAACATGATTAAATTTGATAAAATCCAAAGCTTTGTAGGTAATGGTTGGTGCAACATGAGTTTGACAATGAAGCTTCAGGCTCATCATTTTTCTCATACATTATCAATGGAGTTATCAATCATCCAGCGAAAAGCATAATATAATGGAAAGTAAACCAAGTTTGAATCAGTAAATGACAAGTAGTGTATAGAGTATGCCTATCACTCTAAACAGATTTGAGTAGATCACTTTCACCACATTGAAAAAGAATACATATACCTATAGGTTAACTCTGACCTATATTCAATATTCAATACCAAGATCTGAAGCAATAATGTTGGATTAAATGGTGTGAGTTTCGAGATTCCACCGAGCTGAATGAAATCATTATCGCAGTTCATTTCATTATCATCTGCAATGGCTCTTTCCATTTCCTCAAAGTTACTGACATTATGCTTTGCTATATTTTAACCACATTATGAAGGAATAAATCGAAGTTGATTATTTACGAACCTAACCTTACTCAAAATCTGATCCTCACGTCAGCAGTTTCCATCCTTCACTATCCGTCCTTATATAGATTCAAAAAGTACCTCTCATTTTGGCCCCATTTTTGTTGAGATATCGTATAGTCGATACGCCATATACAGGGTGATTCACATAAGAACCGACATAGAGCAGGGGAATGTAGGGGGTCCTAAAATATGGCATTTTAACGCTACTTACCTCTATATCAAGTTGCTTCCCTAAGGAGTTATAGGCTTTGAAAGTGAAGTTATAAATTTTGAAAAAAATCAATATCTCCGTTATTCTTGAACTTAAAGGAAATAAATTTGGTACACTTTGTGGATGTATTTAGGGCGTTACTTGACCGTAACTAGAGTTTAATTGAAATTTGTAAAGGGGGTATACTGGGTGGCGCAGCATTAATATTCAACAGAATTTTGTCAACCCTTGATGGATATCAAATATATTCGCTTTGTTGTGTGGGCAATTCAATTCTGAAACTTTTCTTACTCCAGTAATTTTTCGAAAAACCTCATCATTTTCATCAAAAACTCGAATACCTGAAAACGCGCGCTCTAGGTGTGTTATTTAAAATCATCGAAAATTCAAAAGTTGGCTATGATAATGAAAGTACAACAAAAAAGTAGGTCATTAATTGTGATCAGTAGAAATTGGCTGGGAAATTATCATTTAGATACGTAACAAAATACGTAAAGTAAGTACAGATACTGAAATGTGAAAAACTATTAACAACTAGCCAAAATAAACACAAAAACTCAAACAACAACCAGAACTAATGATTGTTAATCGATAAATTACTTGATTGAACAACTTACTTGCTTCATTGTCGAGTTTGACGTTTATTTTCATAGCCAACTTTTGAATTTTCGATGATTTTGAATAATACACCTAGAGCACGCGTTTTCAGTTATCAGAGTTTTTGATGAAAATGATGAGGTTTTTCGAGAAATTACTGAACTAAGAAAAGTTTTAGAATTGAATTGCCCACAAAACAAAGCAAAGATTTTCAAAATCCATCAAGGGTTAACAAAATTCTGTTGAATATTAATGGTGCGCCACCTGGTATACCCCCTTTACAAATTTCAATTGAACTCTATCTACTGTCAAGTAACGCCCTAAATACATCCACAAGGTGTACCAAATTTGGTTGCTTTAAGTTCAAGAATAACGGAGATATTGATTTTTTTTTCAAAATTTATAACTTCACTTCCAAAGCCTATAACTCCTCAGGGAAGCAACTTGGTATAGAGGTAAGTTGCGTTAAATTGCCATATTCTGGGACCCCCTACATGCCCCTGCTCTATGTCGGTTCTTATGTGAATCACCCTGTATAGACATAGTAGGTATATATGCTCGTGACTCACGCTTTCTATCTGCAGATACGGCAGGGAAATATTGAAACCCTCATTAACATCGGCGAACCACACAAATCTGACATTTGACACATGAAACGTGCCAAGGCTGCCCTGATCGCTGGAAAGGTTCCAAACGCCCATCAACGTAGACACCACTTGTTCTTGAGGCAAAATCTTCAACTGTTTGTTGTGAATGATGGCGCAGCGGAGTTTGAGCTCCCTGTAGAGTCTGGAGGAGTTGTAGGCCCTTAAAGAAGCATATTTTCATCATATATACACAGTGTGTTCCGCTTTTCATGAATACACCCTGCTATCTCAGTCATTAATTTTTCCCAAATAAAAGGCATCTTCTGTACCCCTCAACATCGCACGCCAATGGCGAATGCAACTGTTCATTCTGCTCAATACTTAATTATTCTAACATACAATCAGTACCAGAATTTCAAGGGACTCGCACCATTAATAACTGAGATATCAGGGTGAATTCATGAAAAGCGGGACACACTGTATATATAGGCACCTACTACACGTCGGATATCCAACGCATCCTATCATAGTTGGTCGTAGATATATGTATTAACATAACTTGAGTTGGAATCAGCATGTGGTTATTTAACATAGGCCGAAATGAAACTTCAAACATAATATACAGTGTTATGTATTTATAAGTGTGCGAAAAAAACGGTGTCAAATTTGAGAACATTCCACTGAATGATCTCAGGGAAACTGCATCGATGCATATGTCCGCGGACGTTGAACGCCTCGTCATGTATAAATTCTGAGATGCGTTTACGTTGGGTCAGGTTGGCACCTGATAGCGCTCAAGAATGCTACCTGGGACAGCCCTGCACTGATGAGAGCCAATAGCTCGAAACCGGTCTACAGGTAGTCACGCGTTCCTGAACCACTTAGGCGCAGCTCGGCGTTTAGGAAGCACTTTCGTCTAAACGAATCATTGCATCAATGTTCTGTGTGGTATACAGTGTGTCCCAGCTAAAACTTGTCACGCCCCTAGTCTCCGATGTCTTTAAAAAAAATGAAAATCGCTCAGACAGGTCGATTTCAATTTGGCGGGGGACAAATTTTTCTGCAATTATCGTATTCCAAAGTTGGAATCCTGAAGCGTACAGAGCATCAACTCTCTCATTTTCAGAGTATCCCTGAAGAGCTGCTTTTATCATTGTATCACACTTGGTGTCTAGCAGGAATGATTACAGAGATGTAGGGTGTTCAAAATCGAGTTTTTTCAACTTCAGAATTTGTTTGTGTCGAAACTATTCATTATCAGTCAAAAAGGCTCTCATGTCTCGATCTTAAATTTTGATTTACTATCTACTGATATTTAATTTGAACGAATACAGGGTGGTTCATAATTCTGAATTTTGAACTAGCCTGTATTCCTCTAAATTAAATATCAGTAGATAGTGAATCGAAAGTAACGATGGGGACCTGTGAGTCGTTCTGACCAATAATGAATAGTATCGACACAAAAAAATTCTAAAGTTGAAAAATCTCGAATTTGAACACCATATTATATCTTTGTAATCATTCACGCTTCCATCAACACACTTGGTGTGTGTTGATGGAAGCAGCTCTTCAGGGAGAATCTAAAAATACAATGCAATACAGGGTGCTCCATTTGAAAATCGAAGTTGATGCCCGTTATGCTTCAAGATTTCAACTTTGGCCTATGATAATTGCAGAAAAATCTGTCCCCTGCCAAATTGAAATCGACTTGTCCCTGCGATTTTCAATTTTTTTAACGACATCGGAGATTTGAGGGTGACAAGTTTTAGCTGGGACACACTGTATAGCCAGGAAGGAAGTTGTTTTTCTCTCGTTATCTACCATTTTCGTTAATTTTTCGAACTATTGTGGTAATGACTTTGAGTTTCTCTTCTTTGTGACCATTGCATTCCATTTTGAGTATTTGGCTTTTCTCCTAGTTAATGTATGATTGTTGTGAATATGCAGGAAAAAGGATGAAAAACTCACTTATGAACCTCCATCACCGATGTAAAATGTCTTGTATTGCCCGGTATCAAATTGGTGAAAATAAACTCATATCTTGTCCCATTCGAAATAGTCAGCAGCTGGAGAGCTTGAGTAGTTCCTTTGAGTTTCTAAAAAAAACACAGATTCCATACCTGATTCACTCAAGGTAAAGAAGTTTTGATAATTATTTATAATGTATTACGACATTGGAGAAGTTTCTTACTGAGTTGACGACTTTGGTGCTTGTTGATAGGATACAATTGTGGCCTATGGCTGAAATGCAACAAAAAAAAAAACATAATGAACACATTGAACAGGAAATATATCTATCCAATAATATTGAATTCAGACTATATGTGGTATAATTTCAGCCCCACCAGAGATTATCCTCGTTAACGAAATATGTTTCACAGAACCAATAATGTAGGTTTAGTCAAAACTCAATATTAGGAGAGCTACCATTCCTATTAAAGAAAAATACACCCTGTATGCGCCTTACATAAGTTGATCCTTGGGCTCGTCGATGAATGCCAAAGTATTCTTATATTTGTTATAATCAACCTGCCCTTATCACCTCCATTCCCTTTGGTATCTTCGATATTGTCAATTTTATCCATCACTTTTTCTCCCAAAATCAGTCGCATTTTTCTAGTGAATTAATTAATCACGAGATATTAGTAGTATTTACATCACCCTGTATGATACTTACGTATAAGGCATGTCGAATTTCACTTCCTTGTCTTCCCATTGAAGTGTCATGTTTCGAAACTACTAAAAATAATAGTTGTAGACTGAAAAGTTGTGTTGAATGGAATTGTGAAGGGCTGGATATTGATTTTTGCAGTGTCATAACAACAAGAATCACAACAAACATTGCGATAGTTTGACGTCATTTCTCTAGTCTATAGAACAGGAGAGCTTAGGAATTATTCGCCAAATGAAGTATTCTCAAAAACTTATAACTTTACAAGGTTATTTCACGGTGGATGGAACATTAGACCTATTTTGGAGAACCGAACGACAAATCATTTCGTAGCAGTAGCAATTTTGTTATTTCAAATGGAAGACCCTGTATTTCATTCCATTTTTAGATCTCCCTGAAGAGCTGATTTCATCAAAGTATCACACTTGGGGACTAGCAGGAATGATTATAGGATTTAATTGTGTCGAAACTATTCATTACTGGTCAAAACGGCTTACATTCGCTATTCCAACTTTTGATTACTACCTCCTGACATTTAATTGTAACAAATACAGGGTGGTTCAAGATTCAGAATTCTGACACCCTCTATATGTTCTAATTAAATGTCAGTAGAGAATAAGTAGGAACTCAAGATCGGGACATGAAAGTCGTTTCGACTGATATTCAGTCCGATTCACTATAAGAGCGTGGTTATTTTAACAACTGTCATTTGGGTGGTGGGTTGGGTGGTTAATATGAAGGTCAGTGGTTATTTCAACCACTTACAGATTTTCTGATTCTTCAAGCCATAGATGGATGAAAAATTAACAACTTGTCATGTTTTTTCCACTTTTTTTACTGGCAGATATCTACCAGCTTTTTCTGGTGATTTGTGGAGTGGCTAAGGTTTTCAATGAAAAATGTGGCACTATTTCAAGGACATGTTGTTCATCTTTTGATACTAGATATTGCAAAAGAGATAATTCTACGACAAGAAACCTAATTATTTGTGAAAACAAAAAATTATTAATTCAGTAGGATAGCATCAAACAATAGATTCAATAAATTTATCCTTAAATTTCGGAAAATATATAAGATGCCAGAAGTATTGGTTTTAGAGGTTTTCATACCATGAATAGAACCACAGATAGAAGACGATGGTGACATACTTTCATTCTACATGTAATAGTAGTTTACCTAACAAGTGCGAAAAGTCACTTTACGCACGTGTTGACTTTTTTCTACTAGCGTGCGGAAAAAACCCAAGTGTTAACATAAAGAAACATTTATTATTAAATACTTTTATGAAGATAAATTTCGTCAGGTGCTTCATTTATAAACTGGAATATCATTTCTTACAAGAACATTTTTGCCTTTTCTGGCCTAAATCCAATGTTTTGTTTTTCATATATGCCGTGACCTTGAAAAACTTGCTCAAATCGAGGTTTTCTTCAGTTTGATTACACCGAGTAACATTGAGTACCTGGACCAAAGAGTGTTTGGCTTGCTTGTTTTGGAAATTTCAGCGAAATAAGCCAAAAAAACGTCTTCTTTGAAACTTTTGATTCCCTTATTCTGGCACCAGTTTTCAAACAAATTAGCCGCTTCCAAAACTGAGTGCGAAAAACACTTTTTTCAGAACTCAGTGCGGAAAAGTGACTCTTTCAACACTGAAATGAGTGCGGAAAAGTGAACTTTTCCGCACGCTAGAAGAAAAAAATCTTTACATTTACTTCCACGAGGATCCTATCAGGGAGACTGATTCTAATGTAGCAGAAATATAGCAATAATCAATGAAATGGTAGAAGAATTACTAACTTCACAGCTTTATTTATACCACTGAGTGGAAATTTAAACAACTAACCACATTGATGAATGTTGTTTTTATAGAATACCAAATATGTATATATAGTGGAAAATCTGGGGTGGTTAAAACATTTCTTAATAACAACGTTACAAATTTAGTCACCCTATTGAAAACTCTTCAGAAAATCGAATGAATAATTTTGACACAAAAACATTGTCAAGTTGTAAAATCTCGTTTTTGAATACCCAATATCTCTATAATCATTCCCGATAGACCCCAAGTGTGATGCATTGATGAAATCAGCTTTCCAGGGAAAATCTAGAAATACAATGAAATACATCAGGGTGTTCTATTTGAAATAACAAAGTTGCTACTACTTTCTAATAGCAGTGGCAGCACCACATTGTCGAAAATATTTTGAATAGATATATCATGCTTGATTATCCACACCCACAAATTTTTGAAATGATCTGTCGTTCGGTTCTCCAGATACTTCTAATGTTCCATCCCATCCACCGTGAAACACCTTGTATATAGGTTCGCATGATTTTCCTTGAACATAATATGCTAATAGGAATTCTCTTTCATGCGCTTCAAAAAAATTGAAAAAGGATTTGAAAGTAATATTTTTTTTTCAGTTCTTAATACTGATGTATATTCGTTATCTGTTTCACCTATTTGTAAAATCTCAGGGGGGCAATGGGCTTATACAGGGCCTACTCTATGCTTATATCACAAACAAATTTTATTCCATAATTCGATAGAACTCACCCAAACTAGCTCACCACAGCAAACCGTTTATCGCTGTGAGCTCCCTACGTTTTATAAAAAATTATTGGAATCCCCGATTTTTCGGACTTCTGAAAACGAGGCGATGATGTGACGTCAAAACCCTAATACTGAAACAGGACTATTCCAGACAGAGATGAATGATACATGATTCCTGGTAGAGTGAATTAGCGCGAGATCACAGTTGAAAGAATTAATATATCAGTTGTCTCCGTCCGGCGTTTGGTATTTTCTTTTAACAGTTTTAACTATGGCGAGATGAGGTTTCTACGTCATAAGAGGGTCCGTTTTCAGATGATACTATTATCTATGTCCAAAAATTGAACATTCCAGTAAATTTTTCGATCGAATTATGTCGTCAATCATTATTTGAGTATGAAAGGTTTGAGTTGAAAGTTCTACCAAGGTGTACACGCCCATTGTCCCTCCTAAATGAGGTCCAATTTAGGAATTTATGTTTTGTAACAGAACAGTTGAGAATAATGCAATCGGAGTACCTATACAACAATCTACTGAGAAAATGAAAATGTCGGCCTTGCTGAACATTTGAGAACATATTTCCCCAAGGACTTAGGTATATTCAAGTAAATAACTATATCCCTTATACTACCCCATCAGGTTTTCATATTGTTTTATGGATATAATAATTGGGATTTTCAATCGTGGGATCTAGAAGATCAAAATCCCTACGATTCATCTTTTCTCAAAATCACTGGCAACGAAGCATTTTGAAATTGAAAACTCTTGAATGAGGATGAGATGATTGATATTACTAAAGAACAGAACCTGACTTATATAAATCTGTAGGTAGTTCTTCAGACAACATGTCTATACGTGGACTCTGATAATCATCTTCAATAAGCCTGCTTATAAATACATACCGACATGTTTCCTGAATAATACGGTATACCATATCATCAATTATTTCTCGCATGTTTGAACATTTCAATTCTTATAGAATCATTATAATTTTCAAGTTCGAATAGAAATCACTTTCAAATCATGCATTGAAAAGGAATGAAAAATTTGTTGGAAGAAGAAGGTATGATTCATAACGTTATAATATTTATTCAGATAATACAATTCAGAACATAAAAATGAATATGACTTAGATGTAAGTAAAAGTTCTTTCTTTAACTAAAACAACGACTTATTGACCTTATTGTAACGTATAAACTATGAGAAGAATAACATGGTACAGTCGTTTTCAAAAAAAAGCGTACAAGTATATTGGAGGGAGAAATTAACGTCATCCTATTTGCGTAAAACGGGCTATCGGGAATGAATGTTTACCAAATGTTGACAGTAGAGTAATCATAGGTTCTCAAAAACACAAAGCATTGGCTGAGTCAATTTTATACAACGAGAACTAGAATACCGAAATCTTCTATGTTTAATACTTGTACGCTTTTTTATTGAATACGACTGTAAGTCTTATGTTTTCCCATTTTTTGTTTTCAAATATGTACATGATGTTTTATACCCAGTATCAGACTATTGAACAAAATCCAGTGCTAAGTAGTTAAATCAGTCAATAATATTTACAATTGATGATATAAGTTTATATTTTGTACATTTTCACAGGGTTGTGTAACGTCAATATTTTCATCACTGAATTATAATTTCGTTCATTTTTACTCGCTCGTGGGAATTTTAATCGAGACAATTAATTTCACGAGAGATTAGAGAATATACTATTAATTACTATAGGCAATGGTACCATAGATGTTTCTTTGACTGAATTTTCGGCAAGATAAAATAATGTAATCTCCTGATTATCTTCATCCTACTATTCCGGTTCTATGACTTAACTTCGAAACAATGCTAAAAAGCATAAGCATGTAAGTTTCTTCAGAATATTCACATTCTCTAACAAAATCATATATTATGTTTCCATTTTGAATCATCACCGTGGAAAGAAAAAATCCATGATTCTATAACTCTCAAGCTTACTAGTGAATTGTCTTCTAAATCTTTTTATAAAGAGTACATACTTCCAATGCTTATTGAAATGATCGACACCTAGACTTCTAGACTTCGAATAAATGAATTATTGAATTCTACTTAAGATGGTTTCAAAAAGTAAGAGCCATCTTTATGCAGTAGTTCGAAGACTGATGAATAGCTCAATATTTTATTTTATTAGGAAGTATGTATTCTGAATATTTTCACAGAGTTATCAATGGTGGTAGAATAATAACATTCAATAGTAATTATTATTCTGTGTTTAGAACATTCATCCTTAAAGAAAATTCAACGACAAAAGAACAAAATGAAACTTAAGTATGT